AGCAGCTAGCCATCAGCTAGCCCGAGGGCTGTTTGCTCTTCGACGAGAATTCGCCTTCACCCCTAAACCCTAAACCCTAAACCCTAAACCCTAAAGACTAAAGACTAAGCCCTAGGCTGTTACAAGAGGTCAGAAAGTTAAGACGTATTAAAGGTTCTTTTGCCCTAGGGTTTAGGGTTTAGGGTTTAGTTGGCTTTCGTATCTTTTGCCTTCGGGGTCTGTTAGCATAAACACTAGACCCTAAACCCTAAACCCTAAACCCTAGGCCCTCTAGAGAGTGAAATAGAGAGTAAAGATCAAGAAAAAGAAGATTTTTAATAAAGATATTTATACAAACAAATCAAGCCAAAGCTAATAAACTTTGTTTTACTACGGCTTATAAGGAGCCCTTGGGGCTGGTGTATGCTGAGGCTTATTAACTCAGCATACACCAGAGGTAAACAGACAATAAAATAAAATTTACTAGAATTAATTCAATAAAATATTATTTTAATTATTTTATTTCAACAAAAAACCCTATTTAGAGAGCCAGAAACCTAAAAGAGAGAAAACCCGAGGGTTTAGGGTTTAGGGTTTAGGGTTTAGGAAGCGAGGTCACCCCGCTGCGGCTTCTGCTCTTCAGACTGAAGCGCGGCTCTAAGAAAACAAATTATTAAATAAATAAAATTAAAAGCGCAAAGAAAATACACAAATATGGCCGAGAATTACAAACCCTAAACCCTAAACCCTAAACCCTAAACCCTTTTGGTTGGGCGAGGAGCCGCGAGCGCTTTCGCCACACAAACCCCCGCTCTTAAACCCTAAACCCTAGACCGTAAACCCTACTAATTCACAACAAGCCTTCTGCTGTCCTGCTTCCACAGAGATCTTTATTCACCTCCACAGCAGCAGCAGCAGCAGCAGCAGCAGCAGGCACTGGAGTAACAACGAGGGTAAACAGCCTCTTTAGTGCTGCAGCGTCTGCTGCTTGCGGTGTACGTACACCTCAAAACATCAAACCACAGAGCGTAATTAATGTCTCTAGCTAAGACAGAGACAAAACTACTTCTAGAAAGACGAAAGAGGGGCTCTCTCCAACCTGCTATACACGCTGCTGCTGCTGCTGCTGCTGTTGCTGCTGCTGCAGCTCTTGCTGCTGCTGCTGTTGCTGCTACTGTTGCTGCTGCTGCTACCATCATAACGGTGGTCGCAGCAGTACTTTCACCGCTGCACCTGCGCTGCTAGTGCGGCTTCTCTTCGTAACCCAAACTTCAGCAGCAGCAACAGCAGCAGAAGCTGCTGCTGCTGCTGCAACTGTTGCTGCTGCTGTTGCAGCGACTTTGTTCAAACTTCATTTCTAAGTCCCCCTGGCTGCAATTCGCTTCTTTAAAAACACCGTGCCGACCCAGCAGGCTCCCCACACTGTTGCCTAGCTAGCTAGCTAGCTAGGTAGTTAGCCAGCTAGCTAGCTAGCTAGCTAGCCAGCTAAGCACCTATGCACCTAGCTAGCTAGCTAGGCAGCTAGCTCCCCAAACAGGTGCCAGCCAGCTAGCTAGCTAGCCAACCCGCCCTACGTTCGCTGGCTGCAGATGCTCTCAGCTAGCTCGGTAGAAGCAAGCTAACTAGCTATATGCTTAGTTAGCTAGCTAGCTAGCTAGCTAGGTACATAGCTAGCTAGCTAGCTAGCTCGCCTTACGGCTGCTAGCTGCACATGCTCCCAGCTAGCTAGCTAGCTAGCTGAGACACCACTAGCTAACTAGCTAGGTAGGTAGCTATGAAGCAACCAGCTAGCTAGCTAGCCAGATAGCTAGCTGGGGAGCTAGCTATGACATAGCTAGCTGGCCAGGCAAAAGCTGTGCCGGCCCCACATACTCCACAAATGATGCAGCGATACCCGCTGCTGCTGCTGCTGCTACTGCTGCTGCTGTTGCTGCTGTTACTGCTGCTGCTGCTGTTGCTGCTGTTACTGCTGCTGCTGCTGCTGCTGCTGTTACTGCTGCTGCTGCTACTGCTACTGCTGTTACTGCTGCTGCTGCTGCGATTGAAATAACTCCGAGCCCTCCACTCTACGAGCTACGACCTCTTGGGGTCGCGGCTAGCTAGCTGCCACATAGCCGCTAGCTAGCTGCTAGCTAGCCGCTAGCTAGCTGCTAGTTAGCTCGTCTCTTTGGGAAGTAGAGTGTATACGGGAGTGCTGCTGGAGTCGTGCGGCAGCGCCTCATCAGTTGCAGATACACCCGAAGTTGTGGGGTCGTCTGGGCACTCCGTTGGGGGTCCTCCAGGAGACAGAACGCCTGCCTTTATGCCTGTAAGCAAACCCTAAACCCTAAACCCTAAACCCTAAACCCTAAACCCTAGGCCCTTGCTCAGTCTTGCTGCTTGCGTACAAACCCTAAAAACTAACATCGCTGCTGTCTCGAGGACAGCAGCGTCAACCAACCCCTGAGTCAGCGGTCCCCTAACATCCCCTCAAAACCCTAAACCCTAAACCCTAAACCCTAAGCCCTTAACCCTAAACCCTAAACCCTAGTTTTTTTCTTGAGCTAACGTGTTTGCACTGGAAGGTCTTCATCGCTGCTGTCAGTCGCAGCACCCCACACCGCCAGTCGAGCTTCGTGGGCCCTGCGTTGGGCTTCTAAGACTGCTGCTGCAGAGGGAGACGATCCCAGGGGAGACGATCCCAAGGGAGACGATCCCAGGGGAGACGATCCCAGAGGAGACGATCCCATGGGTGCAGGACCCCGGAAGCAGCGGCAGAGTGCATACACCGCAAAGAAGAAGACACCCAGGCCCACCAACACCCAAAAGAAAATAGCAGCTGCACACACGCGCATGCTACAAACCCTAAAGTCTAAACCCTAAACCCTAAACCCTAATTCAATCGGAGGTTTATCACCTGTTTCTCGCTGCGTCTCCCAACTCGGCGGAAGGGCATGTGGGCTCTTGCGCGGAGATGACCCGTCTTCAAACACCTGCACGCAAACCCTAAACCCTAAACCCCAAACCCTAAACCCCAAACCCTAAGCCCTAAACCCTAAACCCCTTTAAAGAGAGCAGCCATCTTGAAAAAGAAGTTCAGCATCACTAACCTTGAAAGCCTCGCGGACGGAAGACGCGTGAGAAACTTTTTGCGTTTGATGTTCTGCAATCACAAACCCTAAACCCTAAACCCTAAACCCTTAAGAAAAAGCAAACCCGTCCCTGGGGTTTACCGGCTAGGGTTTAGGGTTTGTGTGCTCTGAGCGTCTGGAGAGTTGAAGACAGCGGGGCATTAGGGTTTGTAATGATAAATAAAAAATTGGATAATAAATGCATAAATAGATAATAAGCAAGAATTAGGGTTTAGGGTTTAGGGTTTAGGGTTTAGGGTTTACTGTCTGCTTGTTGTTTCCTCTCCTCCAAAAAGAAGTTAGGACAGGATGCATTCAGAGCACCGATTCTATTCTTATCTCTGTCAAACACAATTTGTTTGTGTTTAAAGAAAGATAAGCCCAAGACGCTCTCCTGAGACCGGTTATCATCGAGACCGTCGCACCAAAACCTGCATGCACAAACCCTAAACCCTAAACCCTAAACCCTAAAGCTTGCAGCGGGACACCTGCAGAGAGCGTGAAAGCCTCTGCGTTGGATGGTTGTGGTTTAGGGTTTGTAATTCAGGGTTTGTAGATTGGGGTTTAGGGTTTACTCTCCCCTGTATATATATATATATATATATATATATATACAGGTGGCTTCGCGACCCTAAACCCTAAACCCTAATTAGGGTTAAACCCTAATACACTAAGTGTTTATGCACAATTAGGGTTTAGGGTTTATGCACAATTAGGGTTTAGGGTTTAGGGTGAATTGTCCCGTTTGTTTGCATAGGTTTGCATGGGGACAATTACTGCAGGGATTGAATGGATGAAAAGGGTTTAGGGTTTAGGGTTTAGGGTTTACCCTCCGGTGCGTCTGTATAGGTAGCTCTGGGGCAGCCAGTGTATGACGTCCCCCTCTTTAAAAGTAAGTTTAATAGAAGGAAGAGACAAAGATAAGAAAGACCCTGAGGGTATTCGCCAGCAGGGTCTCCCGTCCTTCTCTCTTTGACAAAACAAAGACGGTGTACAATGCCGGTTAAGCACCCGCCTCCAAGCTGCGTATACACCTGGGGGGAAGTATGAGTATGTCGTTCCTACGAACATAATAAATTATTATTTAGTATTTTATTATTTATTTTTATTATTATTTAGTATTTAGTATTTATTATGCAGGTTTTCTATGCGTAATCATCTATATCACATCCTTCATTTAAAAAACGCAAACAAAATATATAAATCCAGCCTCGCAAACCCTAAACCCTAAACCCTAAACCCTAAACCCTAAAACGTGCAAATTGTAACAACCATCCGTATTCTCCTGCTCATACGACTACCAAACTGTAGCTCGTAAGCCCTAAATCCTAAACCCTAAACCCTCGACCGTAAACCGTAAACCCTAAACCCTAAACCCTTGAAGAGAGCTAACCTGAATCAACAAGAGTGCGTCCAAAGGCCTCTTCCCCTTCGCCTAGAATCTCTCCGTCTGCCTCCATTTGCAATATTTGCACTCGGTAAGCAGCTTTGCTTGTTATGCTCGTCCAAGCTATTAAACGAGAGGGGTCTATAGAGGTAGGTGATGAAGATGATAAAGAAGAAGAAGAAAGAGATGAAGGAGGAGAAGACATCGATGAAAATAAACCTAAACCCTCTGATAAACCCTTATAAGGGTTTAGAGAAACCCTCAAAGAAGAAGATACACCCAAACCCTCAGATGATTTAAAACCTACAAAATCTACTAAACCCGGCTCAATCCCTCCAATAGTCAGCAAACCCCCGTCCTCTGAGCATACACCCCAACACATAAACCCTAAACCCTAAACCCTAAACCCTGATCGTTAGACACTAGGGTTTATTTAAAGTCGACGGTTTAAGGGGGTTAAATACAAAACCCTAGAACCTGAGGTTTAGGGTCTACGGGATAAACCCTAAACTCTTTACACCTTA